AATAATTGGTAAAAATATAACATTGAGAATGAGAAGCATGGGTTTTGGAGATGGATAATTGGTTTTTGCTGCTTAATTGGGGTAAGTGGCGTGGTTTCACTAAAGTTTTGATTTCTTAATCTGTAAAATGATAAAGATATTAAAATTCTCTTGGACATTTTGATGTTTCAATTAGATGATTCCTTCAAAGAGATTTTATCACAGAATTTCACTGAATATATAGAATACCCCCAAAATACTAGAGGAATCCATGTCCTCAGAAACCACCCGGATGGGGAACATCTGATCAGCTTCATGGAGAATCTGGCCCTTGAAGGTAAAGTAAATTTCTGACAAGCAGAGACAAGGAGATGAAGGCAGAGAGAGGCCCAGGGAGCAGATGGTGTCTGCACAGGTCGCATGTTGGCAATTTTGACTAGGTGAATTTAAGGGAATAGGAGAAAATACAGTTAGGAAGACAGACAGAAGAAAGCTAGTAGAGACCTTGAATGTCAGACTGAGAAACCGAGGCTCGTGTGTATAAGCACTGAAGTTCTATTCTTTCTAAAATAATTTCACAACTTCTGCATCTTTTTTTTACAACCCAGATTAGGACATAGGCCTCAGCTTATGCAGTTTTAAAGTTAGATTCAATTGTGCTATCTCTGCAAGTTTTAGCTGAAGACTATGGAAGGGAAGAGTAAAAAGACTAAAATTGTGAAGTAATAGGAAGAAAAACCGTGGCAGTAGTTAAACTATATTTTTCTCAGAATTCAACATTTCTGTGTCAAGTGCTTCAAAGCTAAGCTTTCACAGGTGTGAATACTGTAAAAATGTGCTTGATATGATCATTATCCCCATTGTACAGATGAAGAAACTGAGGCTCAGGGTAGCTGCATAACTTGCCCAAGGTCGCACAGCCAGTAGGTGACAGAGGCAGACTTGAAATCCATGTAACCTGACGGCAATGCTTATGTGTTGGGTCACTACCTTATACCACCTAGAGAAGGACTCTGGAGACCCTGGCTCTTCCATTCCAATTCCACCACTAAAAAGCAGAGCTATAAGATGAGTTGCTATTAACTGAGATGAGAAGCCTATGGATTAAATGAGTAGGTATTTTGTTGTCATCGTTGTGGGGTGTGGATGAACAGTTCCATTTGGGACATATTGAGATTGAGATGATCAGTACATCTCTTAATATCTGCAGCTTAATATCTGATGCTCTCTTAATATCTGTAGCCTGAACGAATTTGTGCATCAATGCCTTTATCACACCCTCCCTTGAAAGTGTGTGTCTCCTACTCCATTATACAATCTTTGAAGGTCCAGGACCATAATTTTTCGTTTAGATGCCTTGCACAACTTTGGTGTTTAAATAACAATCGCAAAATTTACTTCAACTTTAAAAGAAAAAGAATATCCTTGTTTAAATCTCCTGAATCTGTGTTTGGCAACACTTAAAACATCTTCTCTACCCCCCAACACAAAGACACCTCTGGAATTGCCAGTGACAACAAAAATTTAATGTTTTTCTTTTTTTAACCAAAAAAGGTCAAGTTTTCATGATGTGATCAGTTTTGAGGGGAATGAAGCTCCTAAATAAATGCTTATCTTAAAGTTCTGGTTCAATTGTTGGGGAGTGGAGAAAAAAAAAAAAAGCCTCCCTGCCAACATGTTGGTTTGTGTGAATCACAGCTCAGTGAAATCTTTCAGGCATATAATTTACCTTTTCTTTGGCCTATGTAGTAAATGCTTTATTTGTTCATGAATTCTGGCCTTGTTTTAATTATACTATGCTCTGAATGTCGTGTTATGAGGCACAAAAATAAGATTGTCATTCTGAAAACACAGAAGATTTGTGTGTTTCCCCTATAATGAAATGGTAGTATCTTTTTCCCAGTTCACAGCTCTGTGGGTTTGCGGTTGGAATTCCAATCCAGCAAGGAACACAGCAGTGAAACTGGGGGGAAGGGTTTGTGTGGGTGGGCGGGGAGGGACAGCTGAGCCCAGGGCATAATTTACCCTCAGAATTCTGAATCAATACATTGATGGCCACGGATGCATAATGCGCTCTTCCCACCAGAAAGCCATTGATTGAGAAGTTTTATTCCTGTTACTTTCTGAGGGCCGTCCTCTTTCACTCCACCTCCAAGACAATTGATTTTCCCCCTAAATGCAGGCTGTACAGCCAGGGAGCAGGTCAGAACTTTTAACAATCAGAAGGCTGTTCTGTTGTTTAAAATCTTTGCAAATATATGTATCTGAATTTCCACAAGTTTACAGACTAGCAGAGACATCAGCGTCTATTTCATGACTTTTCCATAGGCCAGTGTAGGTTTGATCCCTGAGTTGGGAAGATCCCCTGGAGGAGGGAATGGCAACCCACTCCAGTATTCTTGCCTGGGAAATCCCATGGACAGAGGAGCCTGGGGGCTACAGCCCATGGGGTGGCAAAGTTGGACATGACTGAGCATGCACGCAGGCAGACAGGCAGAGTGAGCCCTCCATATTTCAAATTCCAATGATACAACCAACCAAAAATGGAAATTTGCTGTGTAACAAACACAGATGCAAATTTCGTGGGTGAGTCTAAGGAAACCAATGCACTTAATTCCAAAAGGACCGTAAGTGACCATTTTTAGATCTTCTGAGAGGTTACTGTAACTTCAAAATATCACCCATGGGCCTTGGTCTATTAAATACCTGCCATGTTGCCAACACAGAACCCATCTCCTGGATCAAATTTGATTTTGGAACTCATTTCACTCCAACTGAGGTGCTGTCCCAAAGAGAGTGCAATTAAAAAAAAATAAGAGTTGATAAAGCACAATTCTTAAACTTTGCTGCCCATTTTTTAGGATAGGAATGGATTGACTGCCTTAAGTTTTTATGGTTAAATATATTCAAGGGTCGGTTATCAGAGACGGGGCTGGTTTACTTGACTACTTTGGGGATTTTCCTATTCAGAGGTGGAATGCTCAGTCCTTCATTCTCTTCCCGTAGATGACGCAGTCTTTTCCCACCTTGGGCGATGGGCTGGCTTTGGATGCCCATGGAAATGAAACATGACCACGCAAAAGTCAGAGCGGCCTGGGGAGCCCGTGACCATTAACGGGACGGCCACAAGAGACCCCCGCTCTAAGTAAAACAGTAGGTAGTTTTTCAAATATTCCTGAATACTGATGTCCTTGATCCAAGACAAGGACTCTGGGCTCCGGGTGCAAACATTTGGCAGACGCCTCCCTGGGCCAACTAGCCTGATTCCCCTTGAGTCTGGACAACTTCTCCAACACGTGGCCCCTCCCGGGCCTCCGCTAGAGCCCTGGGTGCTTCATCAGAACGATGAGTTTTTTGTACCTCTTCTCTCACTAGACGGCAACCCCCCCAGGCCAGCGACCTTCTCCCACCACTGTGGTCGCGCCCCGCCTGCGCCTGGCAGCGTCACACTCAGTACAGAGCTGATGTGTGCGTGCACGCTAACTCGCTTCTGGCATATGCGACCGTGTTGACCCTGTGGACTGCCGCCCACCAGCCTCCTCTGTCCGTGGGCTTCTCCAGGCAGAACACTGGGGAGGGGTGCCATGACCTCCTCCAGGGGGTCTTCCCACCCAGGACTGAACCCGAGCCTCTTGCACTGCAGGCAGGTTCTTTTACCCTCTGAGCCATCGGGAAAGGGCACAGACTTGATGCCAGCACGCCTCTGAAGACTCGCTTTGAATTAAACAGAAAGTTTATTCAGTAGCTTCCTCAACTGTCGCATTTGGGGGCGGGGGCATCTAAAGGGCGATTCTTCTAACTTTTGGAAGAAAATTGAAAAAGCAGCTCTCGGAACAAAAATTTACAGATAGGAAAAGGATGCTGATAGCATGTGCCTTAACATACGAACCTTATTTTCTTTCCCCCAGCTCTGCCCAGAATTTTCAGCTATTGTCTAGTATTTACAATATAATTCTTGACACCACCTGGTGGTGTCAGATTAATGCGATACTTATTTTTCTGAAAGAAAAATAACATCCGGCCAGCACCTGGCACATTGTAAATGCTAAATAAATGACAGTCAGCATTACTGTTAGCAACTTGGCAGGGAAGCTAGCTGTCATTAAGACAATTATATTGACAACCACGTAATAATAATCAGCCCACCTAATTTTTTCCTGGCTCTAATCTCAACTAGAGGTTCTTGACTCCCAAATTTTGAAAAATACTGTTGTTTAAAAATCCATTAGCTAGAGGAATAAGGGTCTTAAAATACAATGTATCTACTTTTATTTCCTTCTTCACTCAAAGAGTTCTTTTCTGGGTCCCCAATAAAAACAAACTCTCAAAGTTAAAAGTAAATGCTCTTTCTTTAAGATCAAAAGAACTTGCCTTTCTTTGCACAGGAAAGAAAAAGACTAATTCGGATGCCTCTTAAAAGAAAAAAAAAAAATTCTTGTTTTTACAACGGGACTACCCCAGTTTGTTGGAAAATAATTTGTACACAAAAGAGTTGGCCCAGAGTTGTAAAAGCCCTTTACGTACACTTCAGTGCAGAAGACAGTTAAAGATTAGCCCAGGCTATTAAAAGTAAGAAATGCAATGCATTCCCAAAAAAGCCCATAAACACACTGTATATGAAACCAGCTACTGAGGCGGGCGGGTATTCCAGTCTGTTAGGAACCGTCTTTATTCTGCTAATGCCTTTCCTCCAGACTCCATGGATCATAAATGCAACCTGTCCAGCTCCGCCTTTGATAAATGGAAGGACGGATTCATCCGCATGTTAGTCACCTCCTCTCCTGTTACATAAAACAGATGCCACGGCTCTTATTGTTCTTGCAACAGATGTTTCTGCCCACAGAAGCGCGGGCAGGCACCGGGCCACAATGTGCCGCTTGCTCGAGAGGGACCTACGGCCTGTCGCCTTGTCAGGACCCCTCAGTGAGGGCAGAGCAAGACGCGCGATCATCGCGGCCCGCAAGCGCCCCCGGGCACCCCACCCCCCGAGCGTGTACTAAGAGCAAAGCGGATTGTCTCACCGTCTCTGCAGGCCCATCCTCGGCCTGCGTGGGTAAGCCCGGGGCCTCGGCGGCGGGGCGAGGGCGCTCCGCGCTCGCAGCCTCCTGGGGGACGTCCACGGGGGCCTTGTCCCGTCCCTTGTCCAGCTTGAAGAGCTTGTCAAAGAAGCCGGAGTCCTTGGGCTTGGCGGGGGCTGCTGCCCCGGCCGCAGACGGAGGGTGCTCCGGCCCGAGGGCGGCAGGGGGGCCCTCCGCCGGGGCCGGGGTCTGCGCCGGGGTTTTATCCGGGCCGGGCCCGGGTGCAGCTGCCGCCGGAAGCGCCATGGGCTCACTCGGGCCTTTGTTCCCCGGAGCTTTATCGGAGCTGACATCAGGCCGCACGGACCCGCTGGATGAATCCGTGGCTTGGTCTCCGGTACGCCCTGGTACAGGCCGAGAGAGTGTCAAGAAAAAACGAGATCTGGCAGCTGGTGCGCGGGGTTTGGCCTCCTTCCCAAGACTCTCGCCGTTGGCCTCCGCAGCCGCGCTGGTCTCCATTGTCTCGGGGGAAGAAGCGGCCACAGTATCCTCCCGGACGCCGGCTGCCAGATCGACTGTGAAGGCAAACGTGAACAGCGGTCATTCACCCCAGCGAGGACAGCCGAGGGGCGTGGGCGGACTCCCCGCGTTCCACACACAGAGGCGGGGAGACAGGCCGGGGGCCCCGCCGGCCCTGGCCCCTCCGCGCGGCAGAGGTCAGCTGTCCCGGCATCTTCCGACCCAGGCGAGGGGAGGAAGCCAGGAGGAAAGGGCCCGCCAGGGGCCGTGTGGGGAACGCTGACCGTCTGCTTTTACCTCCACGGGATCCTGGGAGAGGCAGGCCATCAGGATGTCACCTGCGAGGCAGGCCGGCCGTCACGGGCTGAGGAGAGCAATCTCCCGGCCTCGGCCTCCTGTCTGGGTCGGGAGAACTCTTTGCCGGGTCCCCCTCGGGCCCCGCAGGGTGCTGGGCAGCACCCCTCAAGATGCCCGGAGCACCCCGAGTGGGGGCACCGGAGATGCCTCTTGGTGTTGCCAAACGCACATTTGAGAAGCGCAAAGCTGGACTGTCTATATGACTCTGAGTTACTGAGCTTTTCTGTGCCTCTGTTTTCTGGTAAAATGAGGAAAACAGTAGAATGTACCCCCATCATTTTGTTACTGAGATTCCATGGGTTAATATTCTCAAAGCACATCAAGCGGTGCGTGGGATATAGCAAGTGCTCAATAAACGTCACCACCGTCAGTTATCATCGTTACTGCTGAGGGAGAAAAGTGACGGCCTAGGGAGCCGGGCATCCTCCCCCGCCGCCCAGTGAGCTGTCTGCTTACAGGCCGAGGTCTGACCTCAGAGGTCACGCTCCCTTCATCCCACCCGCGTTAGCGTCGCTGCTGAGAACACGGGCAGATGCTAAAAAGGGCTACTCAGACTCTTCCATTCTGACCTCTGGAAGTGCGGGCGTCCGCACAAGCAGGTGGGCTATACCCCGGCCACAAGACTGGATACGGGTTCGGCCTCCTCCAGGGAGGGGCTCTGCTTCCAGAATCCACCCGTTTCTGCTCTGAACTCTGCATAGACCAAATGGAACCGCCTCACTTTCTGGGTCGCTTTTATAGAGCAGTGCGATATTCAGGAGGAAGATCCACTACAAAACTGGATATCACAGGTGAAGATCAAGACTCTCGGGGTGCCCTGGCGGTCCAGTGGTTGACCAGTGCAGGGGACGCAGGGTCGACCCCTGACCTGGGAAGACCCCACAGGCCGCAAGGCAACCCCCAGGCTGCAGCCACTGAGGCCCGTGTGCCCTAGAGCCCGTGTTCTGCAACAAGAAGGGCCATGGCAGCAAGTCCAAGCCCCACTCCGAGGGAGCGGCCCCTGCCCGGCACAACCAGAGAAAGCATGAGCGCGCAGTGGCAAAGACCCAGGGCAGCCAAAATCAATCAATCTCTTTTAAAAGATCAAGATCCTCTACCCACAAGCTGTGTGACCTTGGGCAAGTCACTGCAAATCTCTGAATTTCTTTATATGTAAAATGGGGAAACAGAAGCTCCCTGGCAGAGTTGTGATGTTTCAGGAATGAAACATACAAAGAATCAGGACCCCTGCCTTTCCATAGTAGCTGATTAATAATTGACAGATAACTGTGACTGTGTAGTTTGTCAGTCAACTGCATCTTAATATCTGTAGGAAAACAGAAAGGGAAAGAAGAGACGCTAGGGCCTTTCCTGGTGGTCCAGTGGCTAAGACTGCATGTTCCCACTGCAGGGGGGGCAGGCTCCATCCCTGGTCAGGGAACCAGACACCACAGTGAAAGGATTCTCATGCGTCGTAACTACACAATGCCCCAACAAAGATCGAAGATCCCACATATTGCAACTAACACCCGAAGCAGCCAAATAAATAAATTATTGTCTTAAAAGAAGAGAACCGAGGTTTCTTTAGGTCATAGATCGTAAGTAGTGAGAGATACACACATCCTTTAGCAATTTATTTTTGCCAAGCTCCAGTATCTCACTGCGTCTGAAGTCAAGAACAAACAGTAACGCAGACGGAGAGACACAGACAGCCTGCACCCCGCACTCCTGGGCCGATGGCGGCCTCCTCGTCAAGCTTTGAGGCACAGAGAAGAGACGGCACAGAAGACAATTGACGAGCACCAGGGGCCCGTCATAATCAGACCTCAGGGAAATCACTCTGTGTGAGCACTGGGTGTATCTTCTAGCCCATGGTTATCATCTCTCTGTGGCCCTGGAATTCCTAATTGTGGTAAATATTATACTCAGAAGGGAAGAGGGAGGGAGAGCAGGGGAATGAGAAAGTGACGGATGGACGTGTCAGGATGCCAAGTACGCACATCAAGCAGTCGAAGTGTCAGAGTGAACGTGAATGACTTGTGGGGCCTCCCCACACCTGGAGAAGAGGAACCAGCTCACAAGAAAGGGGAGCCGAAGATTCAAAACAAGGGAGGGCTTTCCAAACGCCACGATCATCAGCTGACCTCTCTGAGCTTTCTGCCTCTCTGCCTTACTCTCTTACTCTCTTAGCTAGTGCTAAGTAAGAGCATTTCGGTCAGAGAAAGTGTTTGAAAAAATCTTCGCATTAGACAGACTTTAGAAAAGTGCCAGTGCATTGCTTTGATAAAGGATCCATTCCTTACACAAAGAACCTAGAGTAAGCTTCTGTGCACCGAGAGTTACAGCAGATGCCAGCCATAAGCCCTGGTATCAGAGGATGGGTTAAGTGTTTCGATAACTTGTGAGACTTAGGACTTCTTAGATAGGACAACACATAACTACGGAGCTCTGCCCGCTCCCCAAACGTGGGTGAGCACATATCCAGTTCCATCACTTGGAGCTTCTACTTCTCTTGCTAAAATGCTTGCCTCTCGAGGGCACATGACCTAAGCTAGACTAATAAAAATAAATCTTGTGATTTTTGCTGAACCTACTAGAACAGAGTGGTGATCTTTGTGCTTGAGTAGGCAAGCCAGTAAGGGGGTAGGTCTGGAACTGGTGGCCTTGACTATCACATTCGAGAGTGCTTGCCTGAGAATCAACACAGATGAAAGCCCCAAGAGGTTCATGGGTGCGTTTGGACAGCTGGACCCAGCTGTCCCTGAAGCTGGTTTACCACTCCACAGCCAGACATCTTTGTTTTTTTTGTTTTTCCGCTCATTCCAGTTTTAAATTAAGTACATACTCTGTGACTTGGAGAGAATTTCAGCGACTTAGTCAGTACCTATTCACTTGTTAATTAATAGCAATCAATCTTCTCCTTGAGACTTATCTCCAGGCTCTTCAAATATATCCAGGAGGCATTTAATATGGGATGAAGGGGAGGAAAGAAAATGAAATGCAGGAAAGTGGTTTGTAAGGAGCTGTATAGAAACAAACAAAAAACCTCACCAACACTTTGCTTTCTCAGTAAAAATGAAGGAAAAAAATCCACGTGGGGAAAGATATTACAGTCACTTGAGACCTTGGATAAGCACTAAAAAGCTAATGAATTATATTATGAAACATTAACTTACACATGCACAATCTCTGTGAATGACTGGGAAGAAAACCCACTGGAGTTCCAGGTTTTATAGTCTTGCAAAGATGGGGATAACCTCCATGCCTTTCTCACATTATTATGGGAAGAATAAAAAGTTCCTTCTGGGTGACCAGAACTAAGCTTTTCATTCCTACGAAAACCTTGGGAGAAGTCCATCTGGAATCTGGTTTCAATAAAAGGTTTTCTCACAAAGCAGACAGATGACATGCCAAAGAGATTTTGCTTCCCCTGTAAAAAATGTGTAAGAGTTTAAGGAAAATAAAAAGAAATCAGGTAAGAATGCAAATGGAAGCTCCCAACTATTTAGGAGAGTTGAAAATTTTGATCTCCTTAGTGCAGAAAAGACATTTTGTAGTGTGTGTGTGTGTGTATCTTACTTAAGAAAGTCATTTTATCTAAACACATGATGGAGAACTTACTTCCTGTGACACCTTGGTGTCCCTGAAAAGTACTTAGACTGTGGATCAGAGGAACCTGGGTTTAACTCTAAAAATGAAATATGTGGCCTGGACAAGTTCTTTTATATCAAGTTTCCTCAGTTTTCTTTAAAAAAAAAAAAAAAGGACAGGAAAAGAATTGTCTTCTTCAAAAGGTAATTGGGAGGACTAAGCAAAATGCTTCCTCCAAGGGACTTGACATAGGTGGGTATTGAATAAACACTAGCTTTTCTGTTACATTTATATGTCATAATTACTATGCAGTTTCCTAAACAGAAGCCTAGGCAAAGGAGTTATTCCGCTGATGTACCCGACACACGCGCGGGTCTGGACAGACTTTGAAATGGGAACGACATGCGCTTCCTCGGTGGCTCAGCGGTGAAGAATCCGCCTGTCGGTGCAGGAAGCCGAGTTCGGTCCCCGATCCAGGAAGACCCCACATGCTGAGCGGCAGCGAAGCCCGCGCGTCACGACTGCTGAGCCTGCGGTCCAGAGCCCGGGGCCCGCGGCTCCTGAAGCCCGAGCGGAGCTTCCCCCGGCCCCTGCTCCGCAGCACGAGGAGCCGCCGCGCTGAGAAGCGCGCGCCCAGCTGGACGGCAGCCCCCGCGGGCTGCAGCGAAGACCCCGAAAGGCCAAAAACAAGTAAATGCAATTTAAAGGGCAATGATACGAATTCACTGATCTTCAGAAATCTGAGAACCTGGGCCGTAGAGGTTCAAGGATGCTTATTCCAAGCCCCAAGTATTCTTAGTTAAGAGAAACTGCTTCATCAGAGATGTGTTACCTATTTAAAACACACAGTTCATATGACGCTATTCAGAATTTCTGAGTGAGGGCTACCTTTTATTTGCTTTTTTCATGAGCCAAAGCTACAATCTTCACTTGATACAACTGTAAACACAATAGCTGATATTCATTGAATGCTTCCTGCATGTCAGGTGGTAAAGTAAAGGCTGAATGTAACAAGAAATGTTTTGTTTCTGTATTACAGCAAACCCATGCCAGGTACCATGGTCCCTCCCATTTTACAGGTGTAGAAACTGCAGCTCTGAGAATAAAGTCACTTTTTAAAAAGCATTTG